TAAAGAGAAATTAGAGCTTTTTGCAAATACCAGCCTAGAGAGTTTCACTTTACAGAAGTACTTGACAAAACCTCCTTTGTAACCACGATGGAAAAACCTAAAGATTTTTTTCAATCACATCACAGCTCACTGACTGTAAAAGTTTTTGTTTTGGTTTGGGATTTTTTTTCATTTTTCTAAGTCTTTCTAGTGTTGGCTATTAAGGAGTTCTCACTTTTTATCACTTTATAAGGCAAAACCAGCTCCGTTTATCTTCTGCTTATTTTCTGGAGCCTGCAGGAAGCCTCTGCCATCCTAAAGAAAGTCATACATAATAGAGCAGCTTTAGCCCAGTAAGCCAGTCTTTCCCAATTCATCAGTCAAAGTGTTATGCAAGTGGCCCCCTAAATTGATAAATTCCCACAGTGCCTGTTGACCCAGCTGCCAAGTGCTCATGCAGCAGGTGTTGTTTTCATGACCACCCTGACAGTAATACAAACTGTTTAGCAGTTGCATTGACCTCTTAGCTATTAACATTGATACAGGCTTCACTGGGGACTAGTTCTCAAACATGACAGAATTTCTTAAGACTAGAGGTCATGAACAAGTATACCATATAAGAATAAATTTGATATGCTGCTGAGTTTAAATCTTAAAAGCTGCGAGTTTTTTCCACATTATTCCCATGTAGTAAATCTGGAGACAAGTAACGAGCTTTTGGCATCTCTCCCAGGACTAAAGGTATACTTTTTAATTTTAGAAACTGTACCTGAAGAGATGCTATATTTATTCTGTGACAAGTAGTAAATTACAATGAAGCAAAATTATTTTTTCTTGACATTTTCCCTTATAAAGGAAAAATATAAACTTTAGGATATCACTCTAATAGCCAATATCTTATGTGCAGCTAATTGAGGTAAAATTTTACTTTCACGTATTTTGCACCACAATCAGGATTTCCGTGGCCCTCTCATTTGCTAGAATTTGAACATCCAAGAGTTTTGGATTCCCACTTTGGTGGGAAAGGAGAGATTGTTAATACTGTGTCGAGGGCATGATGGAGGAACTATTTTCTGTTCAATGCCATTGTATTACTGATGAATTTGACCCTCCATTTGCATCCATTTACATATATCTGAGTTACAGGCTAACACTCAGTGGAGCAGTGAAAAACTGTATGAAGGAAAGCATGGAATTCTAAGCAATTATATGATGAGTTCTAATCTAATAAGGCTTGTCAGCCTTTCGTATGCTTCAAAGCTAACAACAGAGGTTACGTGCCTATGCCAGCTACAGAAACACAGTCAAAATAATTTTCCATATTTTCCAGTCAAGAATTCTCAGTTCACTGAGCACGTTAGTGAAGAGACCCAGCAAGGGCCCCAGCCTCCAGTACTTTTCCTCCATGTTCCATACACTTAGATTTGTTACAGAGTTTCATGAAAGCATGTTTTAACAAGCAAGATATACTGTACCATACTGTATATATGAACAGCTCTTTAAGATAACTAGAATTGTACAGACCGTATAAATAGTCACTATCAGCTACATTTTTGGCTGACTTTCTGCGCACCAAGTACTGCTCACTGGAAGAGTAATCAAGCTGTACCCTTTAGAGTTTTATAGATTGAGGGAGACAAGTAAAAAAATTCTCTCCAGCTCACAGTGTGGCTCCATCTATTCCCCTCCTTTTTCCATGTCAGGAGACACAGCGAAGCACTAGTTGTATAAACAAAACCTTACGCTGTCTAAGTGCTGGAAAGATCAAGTCCCAGCAGTCAGTTTCGAGACTTATGTTATCTTTGTAAGATTCAGTTCAAAACACTTACAATGAACCTGAAAATTTCCACCCCTTAAAGCCTTAAGAATGTAAAGTGTAAGTATTGTGGGGCAGAGACTTTCTCATGATATGTGTTTGTACCAGAATGGCATTCCAATCCTGAGAAAGAAGTGTGGCTTTTCCCATAGTACAAATAAGGAAAAACAGTAATTCTTCTCACACACAAAAAGGATTCTGCTGCAGCTGCATTTGTATTACTCTTCTCCTAAGGCACTCTGCCAACCAGAATTTTTTCCATCTTTGTTTCTACTCCACCCCACCTTTAATAAATATTATCCAAGGCTGATGAGTGCAAGTTATTGATTGATGGTAGAATAAAAGGCAAAGCTATATTCACAAGCACCAAGAGCATTAGAAAGCTTTAAATTATAGAAGTGGCCAGTCATGCTGCGATTGATACAAAATGGCATTTGTGGATCCCTAATGAAATATGAATAAAATAACCTAAATATTCCAGCACTATCATAGGTAAATGTTTTGTACCTGTCATTAAAGTAAATAACCGTCTACATAAAACAAAATATCATCTTGATGTAGGAGATCACTCTGTGCTGAAGAGATACCACTGGAGCTCTTTTCTAAGAGATGCTCCAGGAACGTGAGGTTATTCTTCATGCTAAACACAATGCTGTACTTGTGACTGAACAAGAAAAAGAGAGGGCTTCATCTAAAATAGCTTGAAAGAAATGGGCTCTGAGAGAGATGAAGAAAGAATGTTGCCTCCTGTGCAGATGGCTGTACATATTTTTTTTTCTTGAGGCAGCAATTAGAAGACAGATATTTTTACTTAAAATCTGCTTAAGTGTCCACAGAAAATCACATCATTTGTATTCCTCTTCTCAAAACAACATTGGCTGTGAAGCTCACATATAATTTTTAAGTGCAGGAACTTCCCTAAGCAGATCATATGTAAAGCATTCATCACTATGGAATTGGAATTTCTTACAGGTCAAAAAATAATGTGTTATAATTAAAAGACAGCATGGAAATGCGTGAACGCAAAAGCTGAAGAGATTTTTGACGAGAGATGTCGTTTCAAAACCTTTAAGTAATACAGAAGTTTGAATCTGTTTCTCAAAGAAACTTTAGAAATCAGAAGTTGGTACTACACTGAATGATACATCTACCCATTCTTTTTGTTCTTAACATCATTGGGCAGACCAGTTCTGAATGGATGTTTAAATAATCATCTTAGCAATTAAGCCTGAGCAGAGAAAGTGCTAGGGTGAAACAAACCAGTGATCCTGTGCTCTGTTATTCTGCTTCAAAGAAAAATGTGAGAAGCTCTGCAATGTACCATTAAAAAGCTGCATGCCAAAATGGGTGAAAAAAAATCTAAGCCCAGTCAGCTAGTGAGGGAACTCTGTGACATGAGGTATGTGGGCTTACTTTTCCTATAAAATGTTACCCTACCTAGAATTACATTGAATGGCCCCATTGTGCTTAGAAATATCTTATCAAAATCCTGCTAGACAAAGCTAACTATCCTGCTAACCTGGGCTTCACTGGTACCTTAGAAACCACGGGTTCAACTAGTTCATTCCATTTTATTTTTCCCTCAACATTTCGTCTGATCTTGAAATGGGATGTAAAAAAGAATTCCCAATCTTCCTCCTCTTTTTTTTTTTTTTTCCCTTGTGTTTTCTACACCTCCATCCCCTCCATTTCTCTTACTCCAAAGTCTGTCAAGATCTTTTATCACACAGGTGTACCAGTCTAGGATTTTAATATTTGACAATGTAACAAGCGTGCAAGTACATATTCCCACTGACTGCACGTAATTTAATACTTACGTCAGTATGAGAAACAACACTGTTTTCTATTCAATTCCTACTATTGTGTACCTTTTTGTTTTGGCTTGTTTTGTTTGGATTCTAGCTGGACATTTAGCCAACTTAAGATGCTAGAGATAATTCTTTGTTAAGGAATATTATGCTGTGCTTTTCTGAATGAAAAAAAGCTACCAGACATCCAAAACAAGGACTGACAGAAAAACTGTACTACATTAGACCTAACACCAAGAAGCTCAACAAAAAAACAGCATCAGAAATATTTTAGGTCAGCTTAACTAGAATTGCTTTCACGCATACGCTTCAGACACTTACATGACCACAGAATGGTCACTGTGGGAAGGGCCCCCTGGGTCCATCCAACCCAACCCCAGCTCCAGCAGGGCCACCCAGCTGCCCGGGCAGCTTCTGAAGATCTCCCCACCCCTGGGCAATCTGTGCCAGTGCTCCATCACCTTAAGTAAAAAAAAAAATGTTTCCTGAGATCCAGATGTTTTAAGGTGCATCCAGACCACAAATCAAAGTCAAATGAAGTTTGTAGACAGAAGCAAAATTTTGTCTCTCAATTTATGCCGTAAAACTTGCTGTTCAGATTATTCTTTCCATTACCTGTATGCATTCACTAAACAGAAGTGAATTCTCAAATCGGAGAAATACACACAAAAGTTAAGAGCATCAGCAAAATTTGTTACACTTTCTCTGCCCATTCTCAAAAATATCACATATTTTCTTATTTCAACATTTCCTAATGGCAAGAAAGGAAGATAAACTGACTGTCCAGTATGTCTGAGAATAATTCCTTACTTTGACAGACCAAAGAGAAAAACGAAGGCTAGAAAAAAAAGGGCTTTTTCTCCTGGAGAATATCATCTTTCACTCAAGCCCACTGCTTCATTCACTTAATTTTGCCATGGAAGCAAGACAGATTTTCAGTTTTTTTTACACAAATTTCCTGTGGGTCTGCCTATCTGAAGTCAGCTACATGAGCACCATAAGAAATTTGCCAAGATCCCATTCATCTCCTGAGTCTGGAGATATATGCTGCTTGAGATAAGTTCTTTTCACCAAGTTCAGGCTTCAAGAAGTCTCAGGGACTATTATTTAATCTTGTAAAAGTCTTCTGAAGGCAGTTGTATGAGAGAATAATAAATCATACTGCATTTTTCTGTATTCTAACAGACCACCTTTATGTTCATTGGTGTTTTTGAGGAAGAAAAAAAAAAAAGCCATGCTCTTAGAACACAGATTTCTCCCACTGATAATCCTATAAAAGAATTACCCTACAATGAGAAATGAAGCTTGTATACTATTTTCATTGTCAAGATCTTTCTAAATAGAAGAAAATGAATGTACCTCATAATGAAGTATTTGGTTCGTGTACTTTCTCACAGGCCTTTAGTTCCTGAAGAATGCAAAAGAACAGCTCAGTCGGCACAGATACTGACATCTGAATGCTCAAGGCACTGTCGGAACGGGCACTGCACTCCTACAGGAAAATGCTGCTGTAACCAAGGCTGGGAAGGAGAGTTCTGCAGAACTGGTTTGTACATAGATCCATAGCAATATCTGAGAAAAGCAATGAGACGGCATAATTTGCTTTTAGTAGTTTGCTAAGAGAATTTTTCAACATCTATCATTGACCATTAGTTCTAAGACAACATAAATGAGATACCGATCTGTTGAGGTGTTGGGGAAGAGTAAGTTTTAATGTCAGTGCAACAGTTAAAACACCTAATACAATGTGAACCACTACAGAATGCAACTAAGAACATAAGCATGACAGATAACAGCATTCTTAGTTTTTTACCAATACTATAAAAATGACAGGAAATTCAGTCAATATATATTCAGTGTTTGGACATTCAACTCCCACCTTCAATTTTATCTTGTATATATCAAATAGGAGTAACCGGTCAGGAAAGAATGTAATATTAGGCCTGCAGGTCACTATTGCATATTTTGCACTTAGTGAATTTCATACAACTAATTCGGTTTCAGAACATACTTATTTTTCATTCTACAGAACAAAACGACTCCAGTTTGTCAAAAAAATTCTATGTACAAGACATTGCAAAGCAGCTAAAAATCAGAAAATAACTATAATCCATGACAAATAACTGCGGACCTGTCTTTTTGCTATAGTTTACCTTGAAAAGTCACTTCAAAAAGAAACTGCATTCAAATTTGATATTGAGCATGTCACCAAGAGGGCAAGATGAATGAACAAGTGACACTGAGTACTGTGGTTGTGCTATCGGTGTCCCACAGAGACTGTGGATACTGCTGCTGAGCTATGTAACTCCAGCCTATACAGATTTTCCAGAAAAAGTGTGGGTACCAGAAGCTGCTATTAGTGAATCAGTACAGTCTTCCCTTTGCTCAGGGAACTTGATTAGATGCCTATAAGCAGAGGTGAAATGAAAGACGAAAAGAATTGTAGGGTAGGACAAAGCAAGGATCACACAAAGGACTACAGTATACTTCATGTTGGAAGGGCACTCAGAAGGACCCTGCTAGGGTCAGCATACAATTCTTGTAGACTGGAGCATAAATTTCAGCAGCTTCAGAGATTTTACTGATGAGCAAGAATGACACAGTTTGGATCGAAAGATTTGGTACTTGCTAGTTTGGACATGGTTGGGTGCTATTGTGCCTCCAGAACTCCAGGATTTCTTTGGGTTGCCCCTAAGAAATGGGATGATGCAGACCACCACTGTCTAAGTGGTATGTATTTCATATGTCTTGTTTTCAAATTGTATCATGTTGAAGCCTCAAGTCTTTTGAGATTACTCTCCAATATGTGCCAAAATGAATGCCAGAATTGGTCATTTTCAAAAATCTGCCCCTTGAGTTTCTCAGTCTATCCTGGGTTATAGTCTCCATCATATAAAAATACTGCCTACCGCTTATATTCTACAACTTTAACAAATACAGTTTCAAAGCATCTGATATTTCAACCTATTTTGTTTTAAATTTATGTGCTTTACCATTACTAGACCAGAAAAGTAGTTCTTAATGTATATGTATTGTATCTTTTTGCTGTGCGATACTTGAAAGAAATAAGGAAACTGTTCTTTCTCTTTACTCACAGCGAAGTGCGACCCAGCGTGCCGACATGGAGGTGTCTGTGTAAGGCCTAATAAATGCTTATGTAAAAAAGGCTATCTGGGCCCCCAGTGTGAACAAGTGGATAGGAACATCCGAAGAGTTACAAGGGCAGGTATTCTCGATCAGATCCTAGACATGACATCCTACTTGCTGGATCTAACCAGCTATATTGTATAGTTTTGGGGACTGTTTGGAAACTACACTTTCAACGGGCATTTGTTTTGAATCCTATCATTTTTTAAAGACTGTTATCCTGCAACAAATACCAGTGATTTGATTTACTTTATTAATTTAAATATAATATTCAGAAATGTGCAGATAACTTCATTGTTTATGTGTTAATATCTGTGTACATCTTCTAGATGTACAGGTACCCAACACATATATGGGCAAGCAGTATCGCAAATACGGTTTTACAGCTAGTGGAATTTTTCAATATGTATTTCTTCATGAGAAATAGTTTACAAAGCAATTCCACTACAAAACATTTTCATTTAAGGACTTTCCCAATGTCATAATGGATTCACTGACATCCCAGAAACCTTGCGTCTGCAACTGGCTAATCATTGCAGTAAGAGAGCAGTTTTGAACCATCACCATATAAACTGCTGGACTTAATGAAATCCAGTTGTAACAGTTTTTAAGGTGAAATGAACTACGTTATGAGACTATTTCATAACTGCTTTATGCATTCCTATCTAGGCAATTCATTGTAAGACTGTAATCTTCACCTTCATCAATGTAACTCTATTACAGACCGTTACGTATTTCCTTATCTAGCATAGATGCAAAAATCTGGTTATCGCAGCTTGATATCAAGATTGTTTCAAGTGTTTAATAATTAAATTATACTCACATATTTCAAAACCAGTCATCCTAGAAGGTCTGCTTTCTATCATGTATTTTATTTAACAATGGGCACTGGGTTCATCTTACATATTTATATTATTTTATTTTATTTTTATAATATAGACATCACTTAGATGAGACAGCTTTACTATGTCCTGTGTAATACTAATGTTACATTTTTCACCAATTTAATTGGAGAGATGGGGAAAGAACAAACACTTTAATGTATTGTGGCTCTGTATCCTTGTGTCAACTTGTATTCATTTACAATGGATGAAAAAAAAAAACAAAAAACCCACCAACCAAACATTAAAATTCCAGCATGTATTAAAAGCGCTCATAAAATGATTATCACTATAACAGGACAGGCTAGATTATACACAACTAGACTGCCACAGATTTCACACTGAATGGAACTTCACTGGATGAAAGCTCACATTAGCAGTTGTTGGCTGTGTAAGATGTCACTTGTATAAAACGTATAACAATTATTGCCAAATATGGTTTTAAATGTAAATGTTTCTTGAAGAGCTAACGTAAAATTGATTTTTTGTAAATGTATCAATAAATATGGTGTACATGCTATAGTCAGGTTTTTGAAAGTACTAATATTTTAATCAGATATATCTTCCGAATTGGTGCCCTCTCCATCTCTGGGAAGTTATTGGCAGTTTCTTTGTTCATTGTTTGCCAGCTATTAGATTTCCTTTGCACTATCTGGCTTTTATAAAATCTTGCACATACAAAGAGCAGCACGGCCACCACCACGCACACACTAATGGTTCCTATAAGCAGCTACTTATGTCAACAGTTTACAACACTTCAGGCGATAACACCTAGATTACTGTAACTGTATTGCTCTCCAGTAGCAAAACTCTCTTTGCAGGGCAGTGACATGCAACAACTTTTCCTTTATGGAACGTTGTCAGTTTTGATTTAATAAACAGTAAATTTTTAAGCACATTAAAAATGTTATTTGCATTTATCTTAATAAGCATTCTAGCTAAGAGGAACAAAAAATTACACTTGCCTTCCATATATGTTTGCTTGAGTTTCAAGTGACCTCATGCCAAATGGAAATTGGTTGAGAAATCTTGGTTAAGTGCTTAGAGAACAATAGTCTGCATTAAAAAGTGCATGCATAATTTTGCACAATGTAGGTTCAACTGACAGTCCATTGAAAGACATCTCAGGATTAAATGAGCATGAAGACCGAATTGCCCTCTCACCCCAAAAAGGGTGGTCCCTTATAGTTACACTAACACTTCATTGGCTAAGCAGTGTGACCAATCTGAAAATGAACCCTGCAGTAGCATCTGTAGGTTAATAGCAGCTCTTTGTCTCCACTGCTTTCTGTCTTTAGTCTTTTTCCTGAATTCCATCACAAAAAGTTTTACAATTAAAAATGTCCTGACAACCATTTTTGTAAATTGACCTTACCATCTAATCTTTCCTTATTCAATGTGGGTGACAAAAATGTGAACTTCTCATGAATGAGCCAGCTGTCTAAATCTGTCAGATAGTGCAGTTTTATTGCACCCTTCATAATCGGTAAAGCCAGAAAGTCGCTGAAATATTTTAGCAACTTTTAAGTCTCTGACAGAGACAACATCTTTAACACTTTACTTGATGAGTATGTTACAAAATAAACTTGAATTCATGATATTCTCAGTAGCCAGCTGGGGAGATGTGATAGTTCGATTCACTGCTTAAACTCCATACGCTTAAAAAAACTCCACAAACTTCCACAGATGGTACCTAAATTGAAGATCCCCGGTAATGTGTATGCCACAGTCACGCACACACATAGCCATTATAGGCCATAACTGTGAAGAGAAGGGGTAACAAAGAAAATACAGTCTTCACCTTAATAATAAAGACAATTTAGTCTACTAGTGGAATCAGAAAATTAAATGCTATTAAAAATAAAGAATTAAATCCAGGTCTCATTCAAACCAATGGAGAAACAAAACAAAACAAAACCCCAAGCACTCTCATCAACAGTGCTGAAGCCAGAGAACCACTTTCAAAATTGAAACAAATACTTACGTTTATTAAAACAAATTAAAAGAAAAAAGTTTGAGTCAAAACGTCAAAACTAAAAAAGAATCTATGGGAAGATTAGGAGGAAAAGAGAAATAATTTGTGAAAGGTGTTTTGCTTCAGTTTTAAATCATTTTCGGTATTACGGCAGGCATCTGCATTAAGCCCAGATAGATATGTAGGAAGTCCCAGAGGAAGAGAAACATTCTCAAAAAAAAAAAAAGACACAAAAAATCCCAACTGCTTATTTATCAAAAGAAATTATACTATTAAAAACAGCAAGTAAAGCCTAGGCCTAGCCACCCAAGATGCTAATATAAAAAGGGCAACTGCAGTAATTGCCTGAGAATTGGCATACAAGAAAAAAAAAAGGGGGGGTTGTAGAAAGCCTGCTGCCAGCCAGGTCATTCCACAGCCATTCTCACACAATCTCTGCAAGTGTCCAAGAATAAAACTGAGCTTATAAATGAAACTAGATAAATGAGGCAATTAGATAAGGGCCTCCAGAAAGGATTTTATGTGTGTGTTCAAGTTGTCTCTGTCTCTGTCGCTCCTAATCTTTTATTCCATTCATTTATTCCTTTACTGTGAGATACTGCCCCCTCGGTTCCCAGTACATTGTACATTTGGAGCATTCTTTCAGGCTTTCTATTGTTAAAAGAGAATAAATATACCTGTTGCTAGAAGCCTAATTCTATTCCTGATGTAGTTTTCAGCTCTCATCTTATTATCTTAAGACGGAAAATCTTTCTGTTTCTAAGATGCGCTTCTTATCAGAAGAAAGGTATATTATTTGAATATCAGAAGTGCCCTTTGTCCATATATAAGTATTCAGACAAAAAGAAAAAAGATGTTATGTTAAATTAGCTCCGAATGGTTTTACTCCCACTTCAGAAATAAGAAGGAAAACAAACAAACAATAAACAACATTAAGCTCAATTTTCTGATGCCTCCAGTAAGAAGTAATAACTCAAACCTTTCACCTGAAAGAAATAAATTTCTTCCATTAACAGCCTGGGAGACAAATGCAGGCCCACTGTACCTTGAAATCCTAAGAAGTTATTCCATTTCATGCATCTGAATTCTAAATTAGGTATAAATAAAATATGTCTTATATTGGCAACCATGACCACTCTTTTTTTTTTTTTTTTTTTTTTTAAATCTCCTTTCATTCACTTCTCTGCATTTCAGCTTTGCAGCTCATTCCTCTCTACAACCACAGCAAACCCCAATAATTCCAGGTTGCCACAGGTGTTGCTTCCTTCCTTTCAAACTGTATAATAATGGATGCATCAAAGAATTGGACCAGAAGACTGAGACCTTTATCTTTCAATCGCTCCACAAATTGTCATCTTATAGTGACTTCTGGTGCTGTAGCTTAGCTGGGCACTGGTTATATTCAGGAGTAAGAGCCTCCAGCTGCTCAGCCTCAGAAGCAGTCAGAAATTGACTGATTTCAATCCAGTAATTAGATACCTCAAGTAAAAAGCAGAACAATATTCCTCAGATGAAAATACGTTGCTTTTCATGTACAAATATACAAAACTTTGACTCCAAAAGCACTTCAGCCCAAGAAATCTTTTACAGGAGTAATTTTTAAAAGATGTATTTTACTAACCCAAATTCACAGTAAAGACCCAGCAATCTGAGTTCGGGTTACAAAAAGCTGACAAATATTTCCAAGGGTAGTTTCAGATAAAAATGCTGTAGAAATAAGTAGCACCATTTCACTAAAATCTTCCTCTTTTTCACAAGGGGAGTAATCCAGTGAAATAATACGTACCATTTAGGGTATAGGTGTGAAATAGCTGAAGCTACCTGAAAGCTCAGTGCAGGGTTCCTTCACACTCTGAGGGCCTGATTCACTGTCCAATGGTGTCAACTGAAAATCTCCTATTGACTTCAATAATTATAGGATTAAGCCCTCAAAAGATATCCACTTAGCTGGCAGAACTTCACTATAGATGTCACTGCACACATTATCTTTCTGTCTGCATCTGCAGTCATTAAACTCACTCAGGTTTTCCAGAACAGGACTGCAGATTCAGACCTGTCTTTAAGTACAGAACATATCCGACCCTGTTGAGTTTCCTTATAAATACTGCCAACAGTTACACAAGCGTTCTGTTATAACTGCCAGACTTTTCATACTTCTTTAAAAATGCTGAGGAGTTAATACACATTTTTTCTCCTTTGCACATACGTGCTTATGTCAAATATTTAAGCGCGTGCCACTAAGCAGGAAAATAATTTAAACAATAAGTCAGCGGTTCCATTTGATGAAATGCACGTAAGAAGGCAGAGCCAAAAATTGCCCCCACAGAAAAGACAGCATCCCAATTCACAAATATCAATGGAAAGGTTCCTGCAGCTGTTCTGAGTCCAGTTTTACAGAAGCTCCATTCAATGTATTTAGGCACATTTTCAAACCTTTCTCCATGTATTATGTAGGAACGGAGTAATGCTGCAATCAAAAATATATCTTGATCAAACAACAACAACTAAAGTTCTAACCATACTAATAAGTAAGAATAGTAAGATTGAAAGCAAGGAGACTACTCAAAGTACTAAAATAGCAGGTATAATCAAGTGCAAGACCGGACACAAACAGGTTTTCTGTAGGCCCATACCAGGCCAAGGGTTTGTCTGCTTGCCTTTGTATGTGCTGACTTCAGTTAACAGCGTGCACTAGAAATTTATCACACTGTAAAATACAGAACAGACAATAAACAATTTTAGTATAACAATTAATTCTACATAAATTTATATTGGACAGATTGACCGATCGGACAGTGTTATTAATGCTTTATCGTGGATAAGAGAAATATTTTAATTTCACAGCACTGTATAAATGGTTCAATCAACCTTTTTCTTTCAGTTCACTCCTGAGTCGTTAATAATTACTAATTTGGCCTACGTATTGGGAAAAGATTATCATGCTATCCCATAACTCAACTAAAACTCTCATAGGCTTCCATGGAAGCTTTTCTTTATACTGTGCAGTTTGATTGGAAAGCCAAGTGACACATCAGCTTACCAGAACTCCAGATGCTGAACACATAACTCTACCGATCATTTCATGCTACAGGAATGCACAAAAATTAATGCTTTGTACTACATGTATTTAATGCACTTCTTTACCTATTGTGTACTGTACACACATCAGCTTCCACAATCAAAAGTGTCAGAATTTACTACTAACATGCTCAAACAGCAACCTGGCTTGTTGCAGAAGAGTTTTATCTCTGTGAATAAAATAACCAAAACTTCCTATCTGCTATATATGACTAGTAAGGTCTCACACACCTTATAGTTAAGTTCCTCTTAAATTCTGTAGCATTTTCCCATTTATTTTCAGTTTGAAATGAAAGCAAAAGTGAAAAAGAAACCTTTCAATAAAAAAATCATTTAAATTCTCAGAAATTCCAGAAAAAAGGTGCCAGCTGAAGTACATGAATGTACGCAGTGGCTGTGTTCCCAAAATTCTTGATTGGGAAGAAGACAGAGACATGCGGCTGTTTGTCTTTTCCTGTGTCTGAGTGCA